GCATCCGCATGAAAAGCAGAATGCGTTTTACTCGCGGGTTATGTTAACTTTGCATAGGCGTCATGCACCGATTCAGTAGAGAAGAGCGTAGATATGAACAGTAAACTGTAGTCAAGCCATTTTATCCACCGACAAGTGGCTCAGACCGAACGCAACGAAGCGCCGCTGCGTGTAATATACGCGTTGCCGACCGCCTATCCACACTACGCAGGGACTGTGCTGCCACCTATAGCCCGATCTCGCCGCGAATAGTAAAAAAATTCGGCAGATCCAACGTACCTGAGAATCCACGTTATGCGAAGCATGCGGAAGAAAGGTGACCGTGTTGCAATATTTTTATTGAGTGACACGCCATGGAATGAAGCCAAATTAATGTACAAATGTAGCACACACAGACATATGTTGAAGAGTTGAAGATGTTTATATAACCAGTTGTTTGCACTTGCACAACGATGACAACTGGAACATGCGTATTAGCAACACCATAAGCTGATATGAAGCGCTGAAGCAAGCGAAGATGCTTGCTCTATACACTGCTACTTAAACCAACTTCAGCGCATGGCAACTAACCACATCTGACCTTAACGCGACCTGACGGCTATATCAAAATAGTACATATGTAATGTTTATAAGATTGGGCAGGCAGCACTGAAACCACTATTAACATTTCACGAAGATTAGCATCGATTTTAAAAGTAGTTCCGAGACCTGGCGTAGCTCTGTGGTAGAATGCTTCATTGGCACCCAGAATGCTTGGGTTCGATTCCAGCTGGGACTCGTCAGGTCGACGCTACCGAAGTCGGGTATTTCCTAACACTCGCGCGTTAAAATTGCCCATGTGTGTTCTCGTCGTTCCTGAGGAGATACCAAGTGTCAATCACCTGTGGCACATACCCGCATACCAGCGTCACATACCCGCCCGTGGGTATGTGCCACTGTCTAGCGAGAAGTGTTTGACGACGTATTCGACAGGATTGTGACATTATTCATGTCTTCACAAGCGTGTCGTATTCTTCAAACCATCTTACCCTCTCATGCTAATTTTGGTTCACGCCAAGTAAATGGGGCGGCCACGAGAGCACCCAAACGTAAGCGGCTAGATAGATAGATAGATAGATACGCTCAAAGTCGCCGAAGTTTGCTAAGAAACGCTTCACATTTTTTAAAAAACGGTGGACATGATGGCATGCTCGCAGATCGCGCTCAGCGGCCGCTGACACACTATCTAGTGCCGTCAGCGAGAGGATATCACTATCATCATCATCGCGGCTGAGGCTTGAACGAGTAAATACGTGCTCTTTCGCGCCTCGGTATCGTGTCTCTAAAGTGCCCCTGGCCAACCGCACCCAGAACCCCGCCGTGCATGTTCTCGAAGTTGGAACTTTCCGGAATTGTGCGTTGTCCAGCAGATTGCCTTTAGTCCGCCAACATGAATGAAGCGCCAATAGCAAGTGTACCACTTATGGTTCGCCCTTATTATGTTGATATAGTCGGTAATCATGCCGCGAATTGCTAACACAAAATAATCTAGAAACAAAAAGCTGTACTTGTCAGTATACTTAGCAACGTCGCACTGAAGTTGATCACCTGGTGTGACCACCATGCATGAGGGTCCTTAGAAAAGGGATGGTATATTATCTATCGTTTGAATTCTGAACGATCGCCTTAGGGAGCACGCAAATCTGATGCGCGGGTCAGGAGGCAGTCACTTGGCAAGTCACTGTGCGAACTGTGGGTGCACCCCGAAGTTTGATGAATGTCAAGTAATGGCAAGATATAAGGACCATAGGGCACGTGAAATATATGAGGTTTTTTTTTTTTTTCTATTCGTAAAGCAGGAACTGAGTGTGTCAGTGCCCCGTCCGTAAATCTATTGGATAACGAATACAAGTATCTTTTCAATTAAGTTGTCAATTAATATTGAAATAAGGTGGTCTGGCGCATGCGCTATCATTTGCATTTTCTTCTGGGTGCGATCTACTCGCCCTCTTGACTGTACATGTATTTCCGGCCTCTGTGCAATAAAATTGGTTTTAAGTGTGCGCTCTGTCTTATGTCACTGCTCTATCTTCTTTCTCAAAGAAAAGTAAATTTCTTTCAAAATAAATTTCACTTCATTTAGTAAGGAATAGAACAAATGATTGCCCGTTCTATACATTAAACATTTTATCTGCCGCCATATTTGGCCAATACCCCGCAGTGGATGTGAGCCACAATACGCCGTCGTGGTGTGATACTCGTTGCTGACCCACCGTGACTTTTGGCTACAGTCGGAAATCGTGTTCCCGCGGCAGAAATTTCACGCGTTCGGCGCAAGCTAATCTAATCTCTCGCCGAGGCCCGCCGTCGACGTTCCTGCATGGCTCAGTGTTGTGCAATCAGGGTGTTCAGTGGTGTCACTGAAACGTTATCTGCTCGTTGTACCGGCTTCCCGCTTGGTTCTCATTAATCTATAAGGAAATATTTCGCTCCTTAAGGCCTTACATGCATACCACCCACGCGCACGGTGTTACAAGTAACTCACCGCAACTGAACTAATCAACGACATATGACTTACTGTCAAGTAGCGCTTGTTATACTGCGCTTCATGTTTGATATTCACTATAGGGCAAAGTAATAAAAATAATTGTTGGAATTTAACATCCCAAAACTACGATATGATCGTAAGGTACGCTGCAGCGGGGGCCTATAGAAATTTCTACCACCTGGTCTTCGCTAACGTGCACTTCGATTGAAGTAAACAAGCCTCAAGCATTTTGCCTCCATGAAAAATGCGGCTGATAGGGTGCAGCGCGTTTTGTTACTATCGTAGAGCGTATTCCAAAACCACCGATCCAATTTTCACTGTGGCAACGTAACATACACATTAAAAAGAGCGTTCACTCCGACCCAAGGCTATACATGCTGCGTGGCGATTTTTTCCGGCGCTTACGAAAGCCCGCGAAATAGCGTGAAATAAAATCACGCCACTGCACCGCCGTCAACCGCGCTTCGAGGGAAATGACCTATCGCTTTATCGGGAACGAAGCCGCTTCTTTTACCGTGTGCGGCCGTCAAAATTGCTGACGCACCGGGAAGCCGACCTAGAGCCGCTCATTTCGCCCAGGTGGGCGCCGCTGCAGTATGGGGAGCATTGGTGTGCCTCGATGTGTGCGCCGAAAGCGCGCACCAAGGCACCTAGTAGACACGCTGTAGCAGAGCATGAGCGCAGCCACGTCGCCTTATTTCATATATGGAGGGCTTCCCATACGCCGGCACAAACCACCGCGCAGCATGTTACCTAATACTATGAGATTTACGTCCCACGATCACGATATGGTTACGACGGATGCCGTCATAGAGGGCTCCGGGTGTTTCTACCATCTACCGTTTTTTAACGTGAGCTGACGTCGCACAGTACAAGGGCCTAGATTATAGCCTCCATCGAAATATGACCGCCGTTGCCGGTATCAAACACGCGACACATGAGATTAGATTGGTCGTTCAGGAATTAATTCCCTTTAATGCAAAGAAATGTAAATGCGCTTGGCCCTAATGTAATTATTAAGAATTTCGCATAACTGACCTTAGTGAACTAACCAAGCTTAATCGCACTATAAATAATACCTTAACAAGCGCTACATGATGGCAAATCATATGTAATTTGTTTAATTCAATTCTGTAAAGGAATTTTGGTTCTACTAAGATAAAACACCCCGCATATAGGCTATGGCACCCTCCCATGCAGCGCTCTTAATGGCAATACGGATTTTAAAGCATGGTCAAGAGCACACATGCATAGGTGCCCCAGAAAAGTCCAACTCATGCGCACCAAGTTTGAAGCCAGAAACAATCCAAGACGCCAAAACAAGGCATTTAAATGGCCCTTGTTTACAGCTTCTTTGAACGAAACTACGTCAATTTTCGACCCGTTCTTTGCCTTCAGTGCACTGATTCACCCTACGCCTGCAAAGAGTTTGAAAGCAGCATAGAGGTTCTGCAAGTACATAGATTAGCAGTGCTGCTGCAAAGTAACTGCAACCAGTCCACCGGGTGATGCAGCAGTTCCAGTGCTCACCTGTTGACCAAAGTTCCCGGCTTCCATCTCGACGATAACGTTGCCATTATGGCAGAGGCAGGATGCTAGATAGAGGCCTGTGTGCTGAGCAATGCCAGTGCATGTTAAAGAACACTAGATGCCCGAGAGATCGGGAGCCCTGCACCACGGCTGCCTGTTAATCTTGTCGTGCTTTTTTTTTTTTTGCACATAAAATCCCACCCATTGTTATTACTGAAACTACAACCACAGATGCAAAAATGAGAGAAGTTAATGTAGACTGTTCTTACATTTAATTATAACCACCTTCTCTTTTTTTGTCGCGACAGGAAACACAGTATCTCCGGAAATATCTTTCTTCTCGAGGCAAAAAGAAAAGGACTATCTCTCCGAAGGGAACCCTGATGGGATACGAAAGCAGCAGTGTTGACCCGGTTGAAATGGGCGTCGTCGCGGGGGCTGAAGAACAATTTTAAGCGAAACTCTGTGTAGCGTTTACTCGAGTAAACATTTGTTTAAAACGCAAGCACACGGGCAGGCGAGTTGGGTTTTCGTGCAAGTTTCATCACAGATAAACAAGCCAAAGTGTTTCCACTCGATGTGAGGCCCAGCGTAGCTTGCGGTGAAGACTGCAAAGTGAGAGACCACGAGCAAGCAGAACAGCCGGCAGCTGCTGCATCTGAGAGAGAGTGTGGCGTCAACGTGCAGCTGTGACTTGACCCACTCGGCACCGCTCCAATACAAGCGACGAGGAGACCGCATGTTCGTATGGACGCACGTACAGTGCTACACACTTGAGTCAAAGCTGCTTCGCATCTAACTCCCCCCCCCCCAGAAGCATATTTCAGAGAGCGTGCCAGGCACAGGTGAAAGCCTCTGAAGTGTGGCTAGTAGGCCAGACACTGCATGTGGAACAAGTATTACTTTGTCACAAGAAATCATTGATGGAGTGCTCTCAACACAATTTGAAAATGGGTGAGCACACATTTATTGAAGGTGGTGACTTGATGAGCTATTTGGCCCTCTTGCCTTTGGGGAGGGTAGCTGCAGTCAACGGGGCTGCGCCAGTTCCATGAACCTTGATAGATAATCTTGAGATGTAGTAGAGGGCCACGAGAGAAAAGATGAGGCTGGAATGTGGTCAACAATGCATTAGCAACATGCCTTATTAAGTCTTTACCGTTTATTCTTCTCAGTCCTGTTACCCAAACAAACATTCTGCAGTTCTGTACCAGTTTGTACACTACATCTCTCATTTTTAGGTCCAAATTCACGTCTGTCTTAAGTGTTCAATATGGCATACCAGCAATAACGTAAAAGCACCTTTATGAGCGTCAAAAGGTATTAATGTTACGTGCTGTGGAAGTAATTGGTTAGGAAGCTTACTCATAAAATCATTCTTCCAGAAGTAATCGACTGACAAGCTCATTCGTGAAATGCACATGGGTCTAACACAAGCGTGACGCATTTGTGCCGGTTTGTGATAAAAACATTTGTTTCTCACCTTTGTCAACAAAAGCCCAGTTTACATTTTCATAGGGACTACAGACAGGTCTTGCAAAACACACGAATACCATTCTGAATACCATGGCATTGAAAAGAGTACCATGGCTAACACTCACCATGGCATTGTATAAAAAAAAAAAGACAGGACGCCGTCCAAGAGGATGTCAAAAATATTTAAAAAGGACGTTTCGACTTCTACACGGAAACCTTGTTCACTAAGCTGGGAAGCCGAAGCTTCCAGCTTAAATCCGCTAAAATAATCGCTTAAGGAATCTTGCGTACGTAAAAAGTAAATTGCCTGTTGTGGTTGAAGCATGTTCTCTGTTGTCTAGATGGTCAAATATTTCAGATAGTGCCCATTTATCCAGCTTTTTTCTCGGGTGACAACTGAAGCATGGTCTCAGTCGAAGCTGTGGTGCGTTTCTTTTCTGCATGCACTGTGAGAGCACTAGAAATTACTTTTTTTATTTTTCACGTTATTCATGTGCTCCTTCAAACGTCACTCGAAATTTCCGCTTTCACCCCGATAGACATAATGGCATTTAGTGCAAGGAATATTATACACAATGCCAGGGAGCATTTCCTTTTTTAGTTTGTCCTTCCCACTGAGAAACTTGTGACATAGCTTGCGGCTTGAAATATGGGCGACTTGAACAGTTTATTTATAGAGGACATGTGCCAATGCTTCGCTGATGCCGGGAACGTAAGGAATGAAGGCGCGACATTGGCTGAGGGAATCACGTGGCTCAGGGCTAGTTTTTCGACGAAGCAATAAAACTTCTGGGGTACCTGCAAGTGCCGAGTTCGCGTCGGATGCAAGCTAAGTCCGAGTCGAAGTCTTCTGGCTTGCTTTAAATTCTTTGGGCTCTCTTTATGAAAGAAAAGGCCACAGACCGTTTGTGGCTTACAGGGTTCACCGAGGCTAAATGAAGATAAGGCGCACTATGTGTGCCCTTACTATGAACTTTAAACGACAGACGCTACCGGTACCGCTGTACCACTATGTCAAGAAAAAGTAGACATTTAGAGCTCTCCTCTTCCATGGTGAATTTTATAGCTTCCTCAATGCTATTTAAGAGGTTGGTGAATGCGACCAAGGCAGTTTCTTTTACGAGGCAGAAGCAATCATCGACGCATCAGAAAGATACTTTTAAAGGAGGGTCGAAGGAAGGCACAGCCCGGCTTTCCACTGACTCCATAGCCAGGTTTGCCACCGTTGCGGGAATCAAAGCACCCATAGGGGCTCCATTCAGCTACTTGTACATGACACTACGGAAAATAAAGTAGGTATTCTTTAAATATAAATTCAGTAGTCTTACGAGAACTTTCACCTCTAACACGGTGCGTTTGCCCAGTTTCTCATCAGCCTGCAGGGCAGATTCACAGCGCTCACTGCAAGTGCCACAGGCACACAGGTAAAATGGGAAATGATGTCGAATGACACCATGAATTTATCGTCATCCACGGTGAGATGGTGCACCTTGTCAATGAAGTCCTCCTAGTTACAGATAAACGTTAGGCCACTTCCAAGCTGTGGAGCACACACACGATAAAGGTAATTCAAAAGTTTGCACAGAGGCAAATGTGTGCAACGCACGATGGGCAAACATGTGAAATCCACGATGGGCCATGTGCCAGACTTATGAATTTTGAATAGGCCATACAATGGCGGGGTGGAGCCATTGTGACGAAGAAGCGAAAAACAAAGTGCCTTCTGTTGCAGAAGCACGTATCAGAAAACGTCAGCCAAAAGCTCCGGCAGTTCCCGTTCTACATTGAGGAGGCGTCGCGTTTGAGAACGGCATAGGTACTACTATTTCGGACAATGTCCGACATCAACACTCACCATGTTGTGACACAAACTCGGTGCACCAGGCCAGATGCCACCATGGCAACCACCAAGCAGATGAGCACTGGCAGGGGAGAAATTACATGAGATGGCTTGAGCACATCACAGCACCGGCAATAGCATAGAAGGGTCAAGTGGCATCTCGTGTACCTTCAGGGATAAGCTTTGTTTGGAAGTTCTTCCCGAAGAAGTGGTTTTCCAAGTTGGAAACGGCCTAGAAGTTTAAGTGTCAAGAAAACATCATGTGCAATATTTCATTTTGGCCACTAACACGCAATGATTATTATATCTGGTGTTTTACGAACCAAAACTTCGATATAATGATGAGGCACACGGTAGAGGAGGGCTCCCTAAAATTTATACCACCAAGGGTTCTTCGAAACTGCGCCAATATCTAAGTGCATAGGGCCTCTATCCTTTCGCCTCCATCGAAATGCTACCACTGCGCCGCGATCGAGCCCGTTACCTTCGGCTACGTAGACGAGCACCTTAACCACCGTACCACCGAGGTGACTTGCCATTATCAAGCAGGCACACCGATTTTCCCCTCCATTAATACGCAGGTACGCTGGTTTATGACGCTTCTCTCATGCGGACGGCACACAGTGCACTCTCTATCACGATCGAGCTATATAGAGATCAATTTTTCAATCACGATTGGCTCACGCAGTCGAAAAATACAATCTGAATCGGGCTCTAACGTGATCGAAAATGCATCGTTTATTTGCCTGCCAGGTAGGTTCAATGACACAGGGCGCTTTTCTGTGCAAACTTCGCTACCACCATAGTCACCACCACGCATACTAAAAGGATACAGTGAGGATTAATATAAAAAGCACAGATCCAAGGAAGCCGCCGAGGATGGTCATCGGTTGGCTGGACGCCAGGTGAGCTTTGTAAATTTGCATAGCCGCGAACAGCAACATGAAGAGGCACGATGACAGCACAGCTGACGTTCCTGTAGACACCGCTGAAAAGTTTAAGCAACTAATTAACGCATGCAAAGTGACAAACAAGCTCACGAATCAGATATCACGTATACATAAAAAAATTCACACCCTACTCGTTATCAGATTTGGTATGACCACGGAGGTCAATTTCAGGCAAAAGTATGCAAGACTGACCCATTTTTTGCGCCTTGAGAGTCCTTCTTGCGCTTAAACAGAAGCCTTGTAGTCCGCCGGTTGAGGTCTAGAACTGAGCTTTAGCAAATTCTCTTACTTGAAACTACTCGAATCAGCATGACACGGTGGCACAAACACAACTAAACCGGCGTCGGAAGACGAGAGGCTTGGCTTGACTGGCTAGCTTGGCTTGGATTCATTTTGGGTGTAAAAGCATTTGAAGCCATCACTATCCTGATCCTGAGCAATCCACTTACGGACTTGCGTAAACGCGATTTATTCTGTCCAAAACAAACTGGTGCCTTGCTCGCCCGCTAGGAGCAGGGGAATTTACAATGCTAGAACGGTGATGAAACAAAGCGATAGCCACTACCAGAAGCACCCTGCATTTCTGAGGAACCTGAAATATCGATAAATAGGTAACGGACTGAACCTTGGCGTCAGTTCAGTGTGTGCGCGGAGTGCCTGCTGAATCGCTGCTTCTTGATATCTCGCGAAATTTCATCATTTCGTTTCTTTCCCTACAGGAAAAAAACTTGACAAGTTCTTGCACTTTACACTGATTCAATGGACTCGTCCCGAAAGGACGGTAAGTTGTGTTGCGAGAAGTTTGACGTTTCTAAGAACTGAAAGTAGACGTGTTAACAGTGTTGGCTGGTTGGATAAAGTTATCCTCGCATAGCTTTGTTGTGATTTGTGTTTTCGTTTCGTTCAATGACTGAGGCGTTCGTTTAAGCTTTCATAATTGGTGCGGCACTTACTTTCTGGCATCGCATGTATGTTGTAGTGGCCTGCTACCTGGATGGAGTACAAGTCAAAATATCAGAGAAGTTCAGGCCTCCACGAAGGATAGTGCTTCCGATGGGGCTCACTAGAAACTTCTACCCTCAAACACTGCAAGAAAACGTAAGTGTGGTCTCAAATCTTTCTACGGCAACTTTATTTATTTAGCCTATAGAGGCTGTTTGTAACGATTATAATTAAATATTCGCATCCCAAAAGATCCACGAAAGTTGTGTATTAGTATTGTTTCTCTAAATAGCACTACTATTGTTTGGTGTTTAATCTTCAACATTGTGTTGTACAAGCTACCCATGCAATGATATACGTTGCACTACTCGTGGTTTATGCGAAAATCGCACGTCCTTGAAGCATGATAAGCAAATGTTTTTGGCTGATGAAAGATTTTATCATTTTCGTTAAAAATAGAGTTCGTAAAGGCCTTGTTCTTTATTAACAAAGATTAAGAATGTGTGTCTAGAAGCTGAACAAGGAATAGAAAGGAAAGTGAGGAATGATAATAAAACAAATATTAATTGGTTGTATTCTAGCTAAAGCTAAAGAAAAAGAACCTGGGCAGGCCAGTAATGCCTGTGATATTGAACTGAGGTACTTTTACTTTGGTTACTTACCTAATGCCCCCAAAGTTGTCAAAAAGCACCCGCAATCCTGTGAAACTTCTTGGTGTGTACAAAGTGAAGATAGAGAAAACTGTGTTTCAAGCCCTTTAGGTATTGTCACACAATACTGCAGATGGCATCTGTACAACCAATGCCTCCCAGAAAAAACTAGGTTCTGCGGCGTCAGCCGCAAAAATGCTGCCCTACCCTTTCCATTTTCCTTTTTGCAACCTACAGTGGCGCCATTTGTATTTCGAGCAAACAACGCGACTTGCGTCGGTGGAAAGAATGCCAGCGTTGTTGACACCAGCGGAGAACCTGATCAAACTAGAGTGCGACGGAACACATCTCGAGCCTGTTAGCGATGTGACGTCATAATCGAGTTGAAAATGATGCTGTGCAAATGAGCAGGCATGAAGACAAATAATTGTATGAGAAAAAAGGTATAACACCTGTTCTTGGGAAGCTCTTCCTGCCTTGATTTCACACATTCAAGGGAAAAGTGATGTGTGATTGAGCCGTGGGTTCATCTTGCCTACGAATTCAGTTCTACTCTTGAAAGCACAGCTTGAGCCTCATAAAAACTTTTTTACCAGCTTCTCTGAAAACTCTATCATAACAAGCAGATATCATATCCACGAACTTGTGCTAAGCGGCACAATGACACGTCTACTTCACTACTACAACAATGGATGCCCCTGTCTGAGCTATTTCACATATTCGGTATTGCGGAAAATATTAGTGGTTCTGCATTTGATTTATACTGGCAGAGGCAACCCATCTGTCTATATTGAAAATACTTTTCTAGCTTTAAGACCCCTCCCCCCCCCCCCCCCGCTTCTCGGAATGAAATTTCTTGCTAAGGCACTATCGCTGATGATGGAACTTGTCTAATATGTCAGCCCACGGTATCATTGAAAAACTGAAAACACTTGTGTATATGACAGCTTATGATCTTCAGTTTCTCACTGCCCATGTGTCTCTTCTAGCATACGTACCACTTTTGTTTTCTCCGCCTCTGTTTTCAGTATGACTTTGATCTCGAGCAGAGAACAATTGAGTTTGCCGAGCGCTACCGCAAGGAACAAGAATCCAAGCGGCAAGCTCGAACTGACCGTGTGGCAGCTGACATTGAGCAATTCACTCAGTCGACTGCACAAGATCGGTCCGGTGTGTGTGATGTGAGCCCGGGTTCAACGAACTGCGTATCTGCTACAGCTGTCACTGCTGCTTCGGTCACGTCTGCCAGCATTCTGCAGCCTGCACTCGCCCCAGAGACGCCTGGTACTACTGCATCTCAGACCACAACGCAAAAGTCATTCAGCTTGGCAGAGTTCGAGAACGAGAGTTCGAGCCCATTTGATTATGTTGAGCTTCAGACGATCAATGAATTGGAAGAGCTCAGTTCAGTCTTTCAGGTGAGATGAACTGCTTTGGATTTAGTTATTACTATTTGTACTAATTGTTCATATTTCATTTCTAGCTTTGTGTTTTTTAATCCTAAAATATGGCCGTAAATGCTGTAATGTTTTTTGTAATTAATGGTAGCATCATTAATTAGGACTAGTCTCGGCATCAATTCAAAAATCACACCAGAAATTATAGGAAACTGGAAACCCACTGCAAATGAGTGTCATGGGATCATCTGCATTCAAGCTTTGGGGATGATGAAGGCGCAGTTTTTGAATCGTGGCACCACGTGTTGGCAAAAGATGAAAGATGGGTGCTTCAGCATGAGTTAGGTTAGACACTCTAGGCACATTTTCCTGCCAAATTTTATCAGCCAATAAATGGCACTTGACACACTTGCCTGCTAAGCACCCACTAGACTGGACAGTGTGCCCCCTCAGAGAACAAAAAAAAAAACATTCCTTTCTGTGCAGCAGTGTGTTGCAAGAACCACCTTGAAAGCAGCCCGACAGCAGAATATAGGGTGAGAAACAATAATTCCACCAGGTGCTACACACAACATACATACACGGCCAAATGGCAGTGTATGTGTGCGGGAGAGGTGAAAACATTTAATGTTGAAAAAAAAAGATAGTTTGGGGGCCAAAGCCTGACCACGCTATATAGTCCGCGTCCCTAGTCTGGGACACCGCATGACGAGGCCCCGACTCGCGCCCGTCTCACCAGAGTCCGTTGAGACTCCAGCGAAGGGCAGTTGAGGAGGGCAGTCTTCCATGCTTCTCGGGAAGGGGTAGAAAAAGGGGGCAGGTGTGGATTTTTTGCACATGCCCGCACCATGTGAAAGATATCACAGTTCTCCCCACAGTGTGGGCACCACCCATCCCTGTTCGGGTCGAAGTGTTTGATAATTGCAGGACAGAGTAGAGTACCTGTCCGCAGGTGCCTTAAAGTGCACTCATCCGCTTTACTCAGCCCCTTTGCAGTAGCCGGGAAAAGCTGGTGAGTGTCGCGATAATAGGAAATAATTTTTCTAAACTGCAGCAGCGGTGTATTGGACTCTGAGTCATAAGAGCTGTGGTGAGGAGCCCGGCGGGTAAGCGCTTGGGGGGCCACGTCAGCGGCCTCTTTACCTCGTAAACCCTGATGGCCAGGAGCCCAAATTATGCTTTTCGGGATTGTATCAGCGACAGCCCGTCTTAGAATATGGCTAGCTAAGGGGGATACCTCCCCTGCTAGGTAGTGAGCACACGCTTTTTTTGAATTCGTTATTATCATCTTTGAATTACAATCCGCAGCAACAAGTGCTATGGCTGCTTTCTCAGCCCCCTCTGAATTTTGTGCTCTGAAAGAGAGCCCGTTAACGTGCATTCCCTGGTGAACTACAGCGGCCATGTAAAATCCTTTGGGCGTCGGCCCTGCTATGTGTATGTAGCATACACCAGGTTGGAAACCATGTTGTCTTTCAAGCTTCCAAGCCCGCACTTGTCCGTATGTGTGTGTGCGCCCCGCAAACTTGTCGGTGATAGTGTGGACAATACTCGCTTTACTCGTTCAGCAGCACAAGGGCCCCTATCTGAATCATACTACAATCAAACCGCTTTGTAAAAGACACTAACGTAAAAGGCAAACGGGTATAAGAGACATCAGTGTGCCTACACTGAAATTGGCGTGGATATAAAAATGCATACATGGTACCCTGCTTATAAGAGACAAGAATTGGTCCCCAACGTATGTCTCTTATTAAGCGGTTCAACTGTAGGGGCAATGTCCTGAGGTGCTACCAACTTGATGGAGCACTCGTGCTTAATGCACAACCAAATTAGAATATCTTAAAGGCAACGTTTTACCACCAATTGTCGGTCACTGATGCCAACGTTGATAGGACAAATGAACAACACAAACATATTGAGGTTTCAGTTTCGGTGTTGCGAGCCCTTTCATAGAGGGAGCTGCTTGCACTGTAGATTGAATGATTCAGTAACACTTGATTGAAAGGGAAAGCTTGTCAATGAGTCGTATTTAGTTTAACATCATCGACTAACCCCATGCAGGCTGCAATAACCATTAGCAATAAGTGCACCGATCATCATTACCCTTGCCACATGGGCTAAAGCCAGCTTTAAGGCTTAAATAAGTTTTAAGTGGTAGCGTGCACAGGGTAATTGGTCATTTGATTTAGCTCCCCATTGTGCTCTAGCAACCATGAAATCCAAAAACCCTCGTGTACTTAAATTTAGACATACTGTTGCGTGGAAAATAACAGTTGTCAGTCCGCAGCCACAACGCAGATCACCGACAACGTCCACTTCTTCACTATCAGTCTGAGGCACCTTTCTTGGGTATGCCCCACTATGCCCTCTTTCAGTCAGACGAAATCACGTAACACGACCCCCGGCGGCAAAAGCGCCGACCCGGCGAGTTTACGGGGCCACAACAGGAGCATTGTGGTAACACTTGAGCCTTGATACGTGGACGATGTCCCTTGACAGCAGAGCAGAAGAGGTTGATGGATTATCAGGGACAATTTCATATGTATCGTCGGTCACTCGTCTAAGCACGCGGTATGGGCCCGTGAAACGAGAGAGAACTTTTTCTGAAAGGCCTGCATGTCGCGTAAGGGACCAAAGAAGAACGAGGGAACCTGTTGGAAAGTGTTCGTCGCGATGCCACTCATCGTAACGATGCTTCCGTGAGTCTTCGGACTCCATTAATCTGCTGCGGGCAAGCTGACAAGCATGGTCAGCTCGGGTAATAGCGTCGCGTGCATATTCAGAAGTAGGCTGCGCAGCGGCTGGCAGGAAGGTATCCAATGGCAATGTTGGTTCCCGTCCAAACAGAAGGTGAAATGGCGAGTACCCAGCAGTGTCATGCCGAGAGGAATTGTATGCGAACGTCACGTAGGGTAGTGCAAGGTCCCAATCACGATGGTCGGCCGAGACGTGTTTTGATAGCATGTCTGTCAGGGTGCGATTTAAACGTTCTGTAAGCCCGTTTGTCTGGGGGTGGTACGATGTCGTGAGCTTATGATGGGTAGAACAGGAACGCAGGATATCGTCAACCACTTTTGAAAGGAACGTACGGCCTCGGTCTGTCAGCAGTTGATGAGGGGCTCCATGCACTAAAATGAGATCGCGTAGTAGAAAATCAGCGACGTCTGTAGCGCAGCTTGTTGGCATGGCTTGTTGTAGCGCAGCTTGTTGGCAGCCACCGCAACCCACTTGTTTCCGGAGGCGGATGTTGGGAAGGGACCGAGAAGGTCCAAACCAACACAGAAGAATGGCTACGATGGGATGTCGATGGGCTGAAGATATCCGGAAGGGAGTCCCGACGGCTTTTTGCGACGCTGGCAAATTTCGCAAGCGTTGACATAACGACGTACAGAGCGTGAAAGGCCAGGCCAGTAGAAGCAGCGGCGCACACGGTCATATGTGCGAGAGACACCAAGGTGACCCGCGGTTGGCGCGTCGTGGAGCTCGCGTAGGACTGTGGAGCACAGGTACTTTGGTATGACCAGAAGTAGGTCGTGACCATAGGGCGATAAATTAGGCCGATATAAGGTGTGGTCCTTTAAGGTAAACATGCAAACAGAAACGTCTTGCGGTGAAGATTCGAGCTGTTGTATTAGGCGGCTGATATCCGAATCGCGATGCTGCTCGTCCCCGAGATGAAGCAGCTGGGAGATGGAAAGCGCGCAACCCACAGAATCAGTGCTCGTAGGATCGCAGTCGGCCACAGGGTAGCGTGACAGACAATCCACATCTTTGTGCAGTTTTCCTGATTTATACACTACGGTGTAAGAATACTCCTGGAGGCAGAGTGCCCAGCGGGCGAGACGACCTGTGGGATCTTTGAGGGAGGCAAGCCAGCAGAGAGCGTGGTGGTCGGTGAGAACTATAAATGGTCGGCCGTATAAGTAAGGGCGAAATTTCGCGACTGCCCACACCAGCGCTGGGCATTCGCGCTCTGTGATGGAATAATTACGTTCCAAGCTGGACAGCAGCCTGCTGGCATAAGCTATCACGCGATGCTGCCCACGTTGTTGCTGAGCCAACACAGCGCCTATTCCGTAACCGCTGGCATCAGTGCGCACTTCGGTCGGTGCCGCAGGGTCGATGTGAGCCAGCACAGGAGAAGAAGTGAGCAAAGTGGTCAGGTCGGAAAATGCTGCTACTTGCGAGGGACCCCAGGTAAACGTCACATCTGGTTTGAGTAAATCTGTTAGGGGCTGAGCGATTTCCGCGAAGTTCTTGATGAACCGTCGAAAATAGGAACAGAGCCCCACAATGCTGCGGACATCTTTGGCGGTTTTTGGGACAGGAAAGTCCTTCACAGCTCGAACTTTTTCTGGGTCAAGCTGTACGCCGTAAGCATCAACAATATGTCCAAGTATTGTAATGCGACGGCGACCAAACCGGCACTTGGATGAATTCGGCTGAAGGCCGGCGAGACGGAATACATCAAGAATTTTCGACAGTCTCTCAAGGTGCACTTCAAAAGTGGGAGCAAACACAATCATGGCATCCAGATAACAAAGACACGTAGACCACTTGAATCCATGGAGCAGGGAGTCCATCATTCGTTCAAAGGTGGCGGGGGCATTATATAAGCCGAAAGGCATGACTTTGAATTGGTAGAGGCCATCGGGTGTTACAAAGGCCGTCTTCTCTCGGTCCATGGGGTCCACGGCAATCTGCCAATAACCAGAACGAAAATCGATGGAAGAAAAGTAGGCAGCACCATGGAGGCAATCAAGGGCGTCGTCAATGCGTGGCAGAGGGTATGCGTCTTTCTTGGTGATGTTGTTAAGGTGGCGATAGTCCACACAAAATCGCCACGATCCGTCCTTCTTTTTAACTAATACCACCGGGGATGCCCAGGACTGGAGGATGGTTCAATAATGTCTTTCGCTAGCATCTTGTTCACCTCCTTCTGAATTATGCTCCGCTCAAAATTAGACACTCTGTAGGGACGGCGGTGAACAGGATTGGCATCACCTGTGTGTATGCGATGCTGGACAAAGGACGTCTGCCCAAGAGGTCGGTCGCCAAAATCGAAAATATCCTGGTAGGCCTCGAGAAGATGTTGTAGGGCTTCAACTTGCGGAGGCGGAAGATCAGTGGCGATCATGTCTACAATTTGACGGCTGCCCGAATGTGTTGCGAGTGATGTGCGCTGCGGTGAAACAAGTGTGTATAAGGCAAGCACTTCAATTTGTGAATCGAGCAACGAACACAGGTGGGCCACAGAAATGCCTTGTGGAAGCACATGATTCATGTAGCCGAAATTGACAAGAGGTAGACAAGTTTTGTTATCTGTGATGCTGAGCACCATATGGGGCACTGCAACATTGTGCGCAAGGAGTACGTCGGTGAGAGGCGTAGCGTAATAGTCATCGTCGGGCACAGCTGGTGAGCACAGAAAATCAACGTACGTCACAGTTTTGGAGGGCAGGCGAACAAAGTCGCTGCATTGTAATCGGGATGTAGGTTGGTACGGTGCGGCACTGATTTGTGGCAGTTCAGGGCGGAGCACACCAGCGGAGCAATCAATCAGAGCAGAATTGGCGGGAAGAAAATCGAGGCCTAGTATGAGGTCGTGGGGACATGTTGCAAGCACGGTAAAAAGGACGACCACTTGATGACCGGCTACGGTAAGTTGAGCTGTGCACATACCGACGACGGGGACTGTTGCACCATCTGCAACTTGAACGACACTGGTCAAGGGGGGCGTGAGGACCTTCTTCATGTGACGACGAAAACGCGAACTCATAATACAGACGTGAGCACCCGTATCTATCAAAGCTTCAACAAGTATGCCATCAACATATATTTCTAGGGTGTTCCGGTTCAAACGTAAGGGCAACAGAGGATTTTTGGGTAGGGTCGACAGGGCAGCTTCACCTCCAGAAGCTGCGCAGCCTAGTTTTCCAGGGACATGCAGCGGTTAAACGATGGCGAGGGAGAGCGGCGACGCGTATTTGAACGAGAAGGGCGGCTTTGAGGCGGTGGCGACGACGGGACAGGGTGGCCGTAGTCCTCAGGGGCAGTAAATGCTGTAGACTCAGTGCAGGTCGGATAATGGTGGTTCGGTGGACGGAATGAGTTACTGTAAGCGGGGTACGAGCCAGAAGACATAGATGGCCATTGGCTGCGGCAGTAACGAGCGATGTGTCCAGCACGACCACAACGGAAGCAGATCGGCTTATCATCAGCTGTTCGCCATTCAGACGGGTTCCTGGTTCGAATAGAGTACGGACGGCGACGTCACATGTCCACAGAAGCTGTCGAGGGACCAGTATTATCCAGGGTGGGTGCAGTGGACAGGATACCAAGGTTAGCGAATTCCTGGCGGACAACAGCCTGGATCAAGGCGACAGCTGGCGTTGAGGCATCGGGCAACGTCGGTTTGTTGGCAGCCGGGTAAGCGGCCTCGAGTTCACGTCGGACGAGGCGCGTCATGTCTTCGGCTGTAGACGGATGACAAGGAGTGGCTTCGCAAGACGACGTTGCCGCGGTGTTGGGTAGGCGCTGGAACTGCTGCGAAATGCGTCGACTCTTCGCCTGCTCGAGACGGCGGCACTCTTTGATCACGGCGTCGATGGTCGTTACGTTGGTAAATACAAGCAGGCTGAACGCATCGTCGGCGATTCCTTTTAAAACGTGCGAAATCTTGTCGGCCTCAGTCATGTTGGGATCGGCCCTTTGACACAACGCTAAGACGTCTTGAATATAAGTCAAGTAGGGCTCAGTGGACGTCTGCGTACGTACAGCACATACCTACCCAGCACCTCCACCAAAATGTTACGTGGAAAATAACAGTTATCAGTCCACAGCCACAACGCAGATCACCGACAACGTCCACTTCTTCACTATCAGTCTGAGGCACCTTTCTTGGGTATGCCCCACTATGCCCTCTTTCAGTCAGACGAAATCACGTAACAATACATTAAAGAAGCCCAAGTGATTCATCATTAATATTGAGTCTCACACCATGTAATGCCTCATAACTACATTTTTATGCGTAAATCTTGAGAACCTAATTAATGCAGTTGTGTCATTTTATGTAGGGTATGACAACACAGTCACCTCAAGCCACCTCTGCAGAAGTGGAACGTCCTGTTAGTGAGCCTACGTGGCCACATGTTCAGCCCACTGAGACTGTGGTTGTGAAGGAAGGTGGCGCCAAAGCTACTGTGCATTTCTCGAGGAGTGCTTCAGATGTCTGCAGCTCTGGAAATGAGAGCGTTGGCCAATCTACCAAAACACCACCGCCAGAGCCTGCCCGTCAGACAGAACTGACGCCAGAGGAAACAGTAAGTGGCAATGTGGATAGAGTTTCTTAATATACACTAGAGGGAACTCTGGCGCTAGTGTCTACGGGAGCTGCAACGCACGGCGCTTCAGCGAGCATGGGAATGATGGGTAGTACACACATTTGTCTAAACTTCGTACTTCTGGCCTGCTTTTGGCTCTGTGTGTGTTTGTGTGGCTTGAAGCTGTTTTCTCACGAAACAAAAATCAGCAAATGTTCAGCGATTGCGCTTCACCACCCTATTTTTTTTTCATCTTACCTTTACAAATTGGGTCACGAAGTTCAAAAGGGTTGAATTTTTCTTTCAAAACAAAACCGAAACACTGCAATAAACGAAGCCGCAAGCACGATTCGCCGCCCGCAAGTACGAAGACTAGGCAAATGTGTGTACTACCCATCATTCCCATGGTCGCTGAACGATTGCAGTGCCAGAGTGTCCTCTAGTTAATTTTAGGAAACTCTATGGCAACGAGCATCCTGCCTAGTGAAGCTATAAGATGGTGATAGTCAAGAGCATACAGATAATTTCTTGGGGTTGCAAGGATATATGTTGACTGCCCAATGTTTGTCACTAAATTACAGCATTAACCCTTAGTGGGCCATTCTCCCCCCCCACCCCCCTCTGACAACACTCAGTGTTCATGGTCGGGCACTGCTGAACAAAGATTTTTCGTGGTTTATACACATGCAGCGTTTTCTCATTACAATATGTTCTACCTTTGTAAAAGTAAGTGAACGTATTTTACTTGAGCTTTGACACATTTAGTTTCGGAAGAGAGCGGATGGGGATGGGAAAATGTTTCGCTCTACAAATGTTTAAAATGCTAAGCAACTAACTTTGTGATGTACTGAACATGTACTAACAAATAACCGGTGAACTGCAATAATATATCTGCATTGGAACACTAAGGCAGAAAAGCAGTAGGTACTGGCAAACTGAAGTAAAAAATAAATTGGATGCACATTGTGCTATGATGAATAAACAGGAATGTAAAAAGACTAAAGTTGTCGTTACTGGCCTGTGGATTTCATCACTTTGTGAATAGTGTGATGTTTCAGGCTAAGCAAAGGGGATTGCTAGTTCTTCAAGAATTTTTTTATGGTTGGTGCATAAGGCTATGTGTTCGGTAAGCAAATTCTAGAGTGCTGCAATAGACCAATCGAGGAGTTGTGTGCTGTGTTCACGTCGCGGATCGCCGATTGATGTCACTGAGCGTGAAAGGAGGTTGGTCAGGCGTAGTTGGTCAGGCGAGCTTGCTTGGGGAATGTAAAAAAAAAAGTCAGAACCTGTTGACTGGCTCTATTAACTAGTTCTGTAAGAACACATTTTACTTTCGTGTTTCACCGGTTCCTGTGCTGAAGAAATAAACCTTGTTTTTTTGTTTTTTATCCATTCATTCATTCATTTACTATTATAGTCATCATTGTAGGTATAATTTCGAATGCTTAATTATTTGTTCTGCCTTTGACCCAGCCGCAGCCGCTGCATAATCATCAAGCTGCAGTTACAGAGACTCCAGCAGAAACTCTCGCTCCTCTTTTACGCTCCTTAATGGACATGGGCTTCGACAAGCACCGGGCTCAACGGCTCTGCAGCTTCCAAGGAAGCACAGATGACAAAAAGGTATTCCACTAGTGATCTCTGTTGCTGAAGCTTCATTGTAGATTCATGAAACTCAGGTTGTTACATTTTGCGCTCAGAAAGACTATACTTCATTTCAATCATCAGGTGCAATGCCGTAGGAGACTTCTTGTAATGAATGCGTTTGCAGTAAGAAATAGTATAGTACAATGATTTTCTCGCCTGAAATGTGATTTCATTTCCTCTTTGGGTTTCGTAATAAATGAAAATGCTTTGCGCATTGGAGATAAGCACACCCGGATATGCTGCTGTCAATAAGTTGTTCTGGACCATTTAGCTTCTCTTTGTTTTCACTTCTTAGTGTTTTGTTTGCTGCATGTCGCGACACTGTGTGTGTGAGTTTGGGCTTGGTTCACATGAGCGTTTACAACGGTGAAGGCCAAGCACAAGACGTGTGGAATCGCACATATTGCTGATCGAACTTCTTGCATAGCTTCTCCCACCCGATGTATGAAAAGGAGCATAATTAGTCTCACAGTGCCTCCATTTGATTTGGCATGAGGGAAGAGCTGCGTTGAAAAGTGCTTCCGTGTGGGGTGGTGTGGGATTTCTAATTGAATTTTGTCTATGAACGACATGTGTCACAGGCTTCCAACTAAAGTAGTGGTTTTACTGGTTCAGTTTCTGTAGCACTATGGAAACTAGGCATTCCGTTCCTGCTAGAATAGTTGTAGCATGTTAAAGTGGCTGTTGGCAGTGCATTGTCACGATGCCCCTGTTTTCAGCGCAATATATTTAGTCGTCACCCTAGATGACAACATAGACGTTACCTGTTGCCTTGTATTACGTTCTAGCTCCTTTGCAGTTCTACTTGTGCAGTGGCACGTCATCTTTTGTTTTGTTTGGCTTGAATGATAAGGGCGTGATGCTCTTGACACGATTAATCTAAGGTGAATTAAAATACTTCTTTTTAGGTAGTCGAGTACTTGTGTCAAGTGCAGTCACTTGTTGATGCTGGATTCAGTGATGTGGATGCTGAGGAAGCTCTGCAGGTCAGCTCAGGAAACTATGAACAGGTTGGTGACATTCAGTGAACTGTATTAAATTAACAGATCATTACTCATTATATGTAAGGCAGTTGGACAACAAATGTAATGTCACATTGAATGAGGGCTGCACTTTGCTGTTATGGTCCTTGCTTTTTGGGGCCTCTGCTATTACAGTATCATTCACTGGCCATCAGGGACTAACATTTAGTGGCACCTGCAGCTTAGCATAGTTGCCACTGAGTGTATATTCCGTAAGCCCAATTTGCTACAGCCATACATGTTGCCCCTAAAGCAGTGCAGTGAAGAATTATTAAAAATACTCATTGCAACGTTTGGTCTTCTTCCAAAACTGTTTTTTTTAATTTTGAATGTAAGAAGCGTTTCCATGTCATCACTAGTTGTGAAAGCATGCTTTCATGTTTAATTTTTCACGCTTGTCAAATAGCAATTGAGCAATTTTTATTGCCTGGATTTCGGTCATGAACCTCACTCAGCATTGGCTCAAATGAATTCTAGATATAGGAATTATTAATGACATTGTTTTGCATTGACATATTTTATTGCATGGTTATAAGGCTGTAATTGTTTCAAAAACTCAATATGCCAAGGATCACGTCAGTCACTATGGCATCATTTGTTGTTATTATCACGAACTCCAAAAGAGATGTTATATTCTCATCAAGGACCATGCTGCCGAATTTGCTCGCAACAAAGCGAAGTGCACTAGCTCAAAGTGCCTCTAAGTTTGTGTGGTTGGGGTATCGGTGTGCTTTTTATGAAAGATAGAAATTGTCTGATCTCAAGTTTCTTATGTAGATTGATTTCTGAGCCATGTGTGTTCTGTTCCTTGGCACCTAGAAGGGTGTTTCCTCTGTTTTTCTTTCATTTTATCTCTGCATACAACAGAGTATAAGCTTCAGTCACGAACGATGTTTGTCATCACGTCAGCATTATTTTTTATTTTTTCAGCTCATGTGAGCAGTAGCCAGATGTCGTAAGCGAGGTGCCTGTATAGGTCCGCTGCTTTTAGGCTGTGCACCTCATTAGCATGCAAGAGCTTACAACAGCTGTTATCTGGTACACAGATCAGAACTCTTCCTTCAATTTATTAACATCATCATTAGTATATATTTTATGATCCCTCTAGAAGTAATGTCAGTGTTTCACCAACTCGAATACTAATAAGGTGTTTCCATAATATTTAATTACCCTTTAGATTATAGTGATGCACATTACATGCAATGTGTCTCATTGTGTCTTTTCTTGTCGTAGCCCATTAAGCTTAGGGTGAGAAGGATTACAAGTTCGTGTTCATTTACAGGCACTGGAGTTCTTACAACTCCAACGACAGTTCGTGGCTCTTGGATTCACGAAAGACTCCATTGTTAAGGCCCTTGTCGAAGCCCAAAATGACCGGGACAAGGCGCTGGACTTGCTCTTAGGATGACTGATATTATTCCTTTATTATTCAACATATTGCCAAATTTATTTTGATAATAAAAATAATAATGATGCACTCTTTGTGTTTTCAGCAAGGAAAGTGGCCGCTTCAGAACAGTAGACAAAGAGAATTCTGAGAGTGTATAGCCTTTCACAGATCTTCTGCAATAATTAATTACCTATATTAAACGAACTAGCTGACGCTTTCTGGGCAGTCGATCAACACTACAATATATTATAACGAACTGTAGGTATGGGATGTTTGCATCATACCACTTTAACTCTTTGTTGCATTATCATGTCAGCCGTTTTTTAGAGATAAGCTGTTTCAGCAAGCTCCCGCAAGAAAATTTGAATGATGGTTAGAGCATATGTATTGTTCAAATGACCACTGAGTGTCTCATGTTATGCTTGCCTTATACTGCATTTTAGTAATCTCATTGTGGCCTTTAACTTACTGAGCCTTATTATAGCAATAGTCTCCTTGCCACCACCTCTAATGACCTAGAAGCAACCTGTATCACCTAGCTAAAGCACAGAAACAACTAGGAAGCAACTATACTACTCTTCACAATCGTCCACTTTTTTATGCTGTAGCTAATGATTATTAGTTATGCCTTAGTGCTAGGTTATGGGTGGGCTTTTAAAACACCTACTCGTTGTGCAACACACTTGTTATGGAGTCTGGTGCGATTATACTCCTCTGCCGTGGAGCACTACATGTGTTGGAAAACTCCTTTCACTACATGCCATTCATATAGTTCTTTTTTGTGTGCAGTTTGAAGCGACTATGTGGCTCTGTGGTAAAACAGCTGCTTGTCGTGCAGATGGCCCGAGTGCGATTCTCGCTAGAATTAAGTTCTATTATTTATTGCAATGGAACTGTACACCTCCTGCTTGTGGGAAAATTTTGTGGTTTCGATCCTGGCTGCATTTCGATAGAGGCAAAATAATACAGACCTGAGTACTTTGCGATGTCAGTGCACGTTAAAGGGGCCCTGCGACACTTTTGAGACAGCTTTATGTAGCACCAAATTGCGTGTAGCAATGATTACCGAGACAAATGCAACAAGAATGATGGAAATTGATGCACGGAGAGTGAAGTTATGAGTCCTCGAAGTTCAAAACTCTAGCAGATAATGACGAGAAACGCTCTCTTTCACATTTTACTCGCCTGCTGATGTCAAAGACCGCCTCCAACCACAGCGCACGTCTTATAAAGACATTCCAGAAATGTCACCTCTTGGTGGCTTTCACACAATACCTCGCTACCGCTCTTTTTGACAGCGTCGTATACGAACCACGTGCATCGGATAGCAGACACTCCCACGGTCACACTGTTTAAGATACACACATACGCTTTGGGCTGGGTCACTTCTCGGCTTGCATGCAAGAAGCGTTCTACAGCAACACCAGTGCCCACTGCCTGTTGCATTTTTGGCTCGTTAAAAACATGGCATGTGTTTCCACTTTTAGTTGCTGGCTTACCATAGTTTTGTTCGCAGGCTAAGTGTTGTGTTCGTTGTTCTGGTAATGCATCATTTCGAAACAGGAATGATTTCTTTCTGAGAAAGTATAAAAAAGGTTCTTGCTGTTTTTTTGGATTCACTTGTATGGCCTATATAAATATTGCATGCTATTTCTTGCGTCAAGCCAATCAGAATCGAACGATGTTTGTCGTCACGTCACATGACACGACGTCACTTCTCATAACAAAAATAGCTGATGTGTGTCGCCGTAGTCTGAAATCAAGGTAGTTTGTCCCGTGAAATAAAATTATAACAGCGTAGATTTCGGCGTTGCCATGTGCGCAATGATATCGGCGAGTTCCACAGCACCAGCAGAACTGATACAAAATACATGCTCAAATAGTGTCTCGAGGCCCCTTTAAAGAACACCAGATGGCCAAAATTTCCAGAACCCTCCACTGTGGCGTCTCTCAGAATCATATCATGGTTTTGGGACGTAAAACCCTACATTTTATTATTATGAACACTAAACGGCAGGTTTTGAAAGGGCCGTTTGACGTCATTCGAAGGCATTGTGTGTAGTGCGAACCGCACAACGGATTATAACGGCGCCAATGAAAAATGCAAAGCATGTTCCTTTTCCCCACTTTGTTTGCTGCTTTCATATTTAAAAGGAAGAGCTGCCTAGAAACTCATTCACTTCATCATGGGTAAGGCACAGAAATTATTAAGGACAGCAGGGGAACAGTGTCAGTACAATGCTCGACAAACAGAACAAATTTGTCTTGCTCAACAGCGTCTTAGGCAAAGTTGCCCAGCACAAGTAACAAGCCCGTCAAGACGAGGAGAAGCAGGGAATGCTGCGAGAAAGCGCAAGCATCACGCTGATCAGTGGGCCAATCTGATCAGTTCCCCGATAAGGACATTGCAAACTTCAGCGTGTTAAGTGTGTATAGGAATGCTCTTATTTATTATTCATTTATTAGGGGCAAAGCGCGTTAGGGTCGAGGCATGTCCATTCGCGTAAACGGTGTCTGTTGTCACCGGGAGATTCGTGGATGTGAGATACAAAATGGGTCTAACGATGGATTTATATCAATAGGGAGAGAACAATATAAAATACCTAGAAGCACGAAGCCTTTATACTGTGTAGTTGGTGACTTCAACGTACACATTATGCACTTTAAGACCTAACTTTATCGTTGACTCCCTCTGTCCACTCTCGTAGTATATTGAAAATCCTTGCTGTGTGCTATTTGTGTCACTCAATAATGAAAAAAAGGTTTATCAATAAACGTGACAGAACAATGTAAAATGCCTTCAAGCACAAACCCGTTATTCTAGGCAACTTCAATGTGGACGCCGACATAGCGAAATACCAGGTCAAGACTAGAGAGCCGGGTCATTCTGATTCTCACCGTGAGCCACACGACTCTTCTTTTGTCATGTCTGGTGGGTTGCTACACCATTATATGGAGCAACGTATGGTTACTCACTCATACGATACCCAGAGCTTTGCCCACTTGACCTATTGTGGTGATGTGTGGATTTTTAATTTGATTTGCATACATAGATACACAAGGACACAGAGGAGAGAGGGAAAGAGAGAGCTGGCAACTGCCCCCCCGAAGGGGCACAGGGCTTGCCTTCTCTTTCAAGAGGAGGAAAGAGATAAAGCAAAGGAGGATAAAAGGAGAGGAAGAGGAAAGAAGAGAGGGAAGTAAAAAAATGATGAAGATTTGAACAAGCATAAGTTAATGCTCTCTCGCTTATGAGGTACCACTGCGCAGATCGGATTTAGATTTGGCCTTGACCGAGAAAGCAAGATGGCTGCAGAACTAATAACAGTCTATCGCAGCAACCACAAAGCGGTTATCGCTACCATTACTCTTAAGTAATAATAATACATACCCCCCTCCCCCCATCAACAAGTGTAGCTGCGCTGAACATTCACATTTGCAGGGTGGTGTGGCGGCCAGTTTTATTATTTGCACATTCCTTTATTCTTTCACGGCTAACGCTGACTTTTCGTTCACAACCAACCCGATCCCGGTATTTCTGCGAAGCGAGCTCTATATCTGTGTGGTGTTCGTAGTCACTCACATGCTATCTGGAGGTGTCAAGTCTGCCAGAATGAGACCTTTGCTTGCTGTGAATGAGCTAAAGAAGGGGAACTTAAAAGCTTTTTTGCAACCAGACCAAGGCAAGTATACAGCACACTATTTGTAGCTGTGATATAATTTCGAAGAAATTTAAGAGGTGTATGAAAAGACAAATGCACTGGCAGGAGTGCTCCCCACCCTACTCCTCCGGGCTGGGTCGTCGAGGTGAAATTCGAAGTCTTGTGGCGCACACAAAGTCAACCTTATGACCCCCATAAAGAACCACATCGCTAGCGTTATTTCTTGATTAGAAATCTTTATCGTGAATGAGGGGAGGATGGGTTATAGTTGTATATCACCCGGTCCAAAGGGGAAGTCGGTGAGTATAATTATTGTCGGTGTGATCCGTTAGAGAAATGTTGCGATACAAGCGAAGATTTTTGCACGCAACACCATCATAGCGGTCAAACTTATACGATGACTAATTCTGAAATGGAAGCGCACAACGTAGAAGCAGACGGAAAGACAGGGATAGCGCTTGTCCCTGTCTTTCCGTCTGCTTCTACGTTGTGCGCTTCCATTTCAGAATTAGTCATGTATCACCAACTCGCCCAATCAACCATTTTGACAAATTATACGATGAATCGTGAACAGTTCAACCGGGCATCGCATGTGCAATGTACCATTCGTTTCTGTGTTGTAAAAACAAACAAAAGTATGTCTGATGCCCATATCATGTTTCACCTCTACTACCGAACAAAAATCGGACGCGCCCACACGAGGTGTGACAGGGCCTATCGAAATGCGGCGTGTTTGCATGGTTAATAACATATACCCATCAAGATTAGTTACCGTTGAAGTACCTTCCGCGCGGAAGTGTAATTTGTTTCTCACAAGGGCGGCACTTACGGGCACAGAAACCACACCGTTGGCTAGCTGCCGTGCTTCCCCTTTTTGTTCGCCTTCTTGTTAAGAATTTCGTCAATGAGCGCCTTAACCTGATCTAACGTCAGCTGATCTGTTGCGTTGGCGATGTGCTGCCGCGAAACGTCTTCAGGCTGGGGAGTTGTGCGGCCAAGGTGGGGTGTCGTCGAGGCCTTCCGCGGAGTAGGCTCGATATTTCTGCTGGGCGGCCGGCCTGCCTTACTGTTGGTCGTAGTCAACCAGTGCGCCTCGGTGGCATTTTGCTCCCCGAAAAAATGTTCATCCACTTCGCTGGCCTGGCTGTCCTTGGAACCGGAAGGCCGAACAGCGCTACTTTCTTTCGCTTTGTGTGTTTGACATCTCTGATGGAAGTCTTGCTCCCACGGTCCTTGGATTGTTTCTTATCCTGGCTGAGACTGAACAGAAGCGGTCGCGATTTAGACACGCGGCTGATGGCCATATTCTCCCCGCTCGAGTACGACGGGGGAGAGTAGCTTTCCATCGGGTATTGCCTGATGACGCCGCCTCCGTAGACGTTCTTGTTCTTGCGACCGGGCTCTTGGTTGATGCGTAGGTCCAAC